GTGCTTTACCTTTGACATAGTTTAGAATTGGCTGCACATAGTGATAATTAAAAAGCAGATTGACTTGCAGGTGGTTTTGTGATTGTTTGTAATATCTCATTATAATGCATCTCCTTATTGCCTGCACACGGGGCAGATGAAAGGCAAATGAACCCCTGTGTACGGTCAGTTCTATTCACCCACTCACACATATCTGGTATCCAGAGAATCTGGGCTAGGCACATCTCTACCTTCCAGAAGCTCATAAAATGCACCAAAAACCCCAAACCAGATGTCAGGTCAATTGGGACTCATGCAATCCCACATATGTCAAAGTAGAATTGTGCTCCATAGGGTTTTCAATGGCTGTGACCTTTCAGAAGTAAATCACCAGACCTTTCTTTCGAGGTGCTTCTGGGTAGTCTTGAAACTACAAACTTTGGTTGCCAGCTGAGTGCATTAATTGCTTGTACCACCCAGGGACTCCCATAGAAAGCACAAGCAGAATAAATTAAAAGCCAACACAGTAGGTGCTCTTTTAGAAGGAGATTTGGCGAGGGGGCTGGGGCACCAGAGGAGAGGAGTAGCTTTATCCTGCACCATGCTGTAAGGAAGGAGACATTTGATCAATTTACTAAGCTTTGCCTGGAGAATTTGCTCGGGTTTCACATTTACTCTGTTTTTTTATTGCAGCCAAATTCCAAGATGGATTTCCCAAAGGACCACACAGATTTGGTCTGAGATGCTTACAATGCTCAATGCCTTCTTTGAGAAAAGATCTTTAATTTCTACTCTAATGAGCCAGACACTGACTCGCCCCTCATCCCACCTCCTTAAATGCAAATGCAAAGCTTCCAAATGAAGTGGGGAGGAACAGGCATGCGTTAGTCCGCCCACTGGAAAGCCTCTGATTGAGCCCAAATACTTAAACCAGTGCTGCTTCGTCTCCAGCTGAAAACCCACCAGTAACGTCTGTTGGCTGCAGCTAGAGACTGATGAAGTGATCAGGAGGAAAAACACATATAATACACATGTAGTTGTACAAGGGTGAGAGAAGAGGATAGGGATGGCAGTGGAAGGGGGGTGCTCATTTACTGTCTGCAGAATTTGTGCCAGGTTCTGTGCTGAATATTTTGCATGTGCTGCTCAAGTACTTGCAGACTTCAAAGCTTCCTCCAGTGAGGTACCAGAACTTTAACACTTATCCATAACACACACAAACACACACACACAATTTTGCCCCCAGATAGATAGCTCAAACAAACCCATAAAACAGTCTGCTTTGCCAACCAGTAAGCTGCTTGGAGAAACGTCTTGTCTTCCACTAGCCGTCATGAGATTCACCACTCCAAGCTGAGGTTGCTGCTTTGAGCTGCTCCCAAAGTTTTCAACCTTTGGGATGCCATAATGGTACTGGCACCTGGGCAGAGATTGGGAAGGAGACCCTCTTCTACTTTGTCACCAGGGCCTTGAAGCTGGAATCACCCAATCAGCTTTTGCTAGTAGCATCTTCTTTCCAGAGTGGCTCAAAATCAGGCCAAGACCCCTGAACGTGGACCTCCTACCTTTCATTTTCCTCCATGAGCCTTTTTGCTCAGCCCCTTCTTTCCCCCACTTCTTCCCTTCCTTGGTTCCTAAATCAAGCTCCCATGCATGTGAATGAAGACAAACAGAATCTGGAAAGAGGGAACAGGGAGAAGGGGGAGCACTGTTTAAATGAAACCAGCAACAGCTGTTCAAAATGCTCAGCTGAGCATAGATTTACTCATTTAGTCTCCATTCCTGTCCTGTTAGATAGATATTATTTTATCCATTTTACAGACAAGGAAACTGAGGTTTGGAGATGAAAACTGGTAGATAGCGGCTGTTTCTGACTGAACGCTGTGTTCTTCCTCTCCATCAGATTGCCTCCATTTGCCTTAGATTTCCGGAATTTTGATCTCCAGATTGGGCAAGCTGCAGGCCCAGCACAGGGAGAATGTGGAGTAGAGTTTCTAAAAGCTCTTCCGAGAGCACAGGCCTGGATGTTACTCTGCGGTGGCAGTCTGGGCCAACACAGAACACGTTCTGCTCTAAGGCTATAACTCACATGCTGATTTAGATAGTGGAAAGTGTTTCTCCGAGACAGGCAATGTGTTTTCAAAATGAATTGCCATCTTGCTGTCTCTTCTGTCTGGTATTTTATAACTATCTATCTTTGATAACAGAATGCAACAATTAAGGTGAAATCCACATATGCAAACCTAACATTTTTTTGGCATTTCCCATTCATCTTAGAACGTTTTAGCTGAAAGCAGATGAGTGCCCCGCCCCCACTCACACACTCTCACACACACACACACACACACACACACACACACACACACTCAGAGAGAGAGGCATGGAAGTGTCCTATTTGACTTAGCATCTCTGTTTTGATTCTATCCTGTGTTTCTGTTTCCATTCACTTTATTTTGCTTTCTTTGTCCCCTGAAAATAATGTTCATTTCCTGAGGTAAGGCCTAATGGACAGAGAACTGGGCTTTGAGCTGGAAGACCCAGGCCTTAGTCCTGATATGCCTGTTAGCAATTGCATGGCCAGACCAAGAGGCTCTCAGGTTTTGAAGCTGGGCAGATTATAAATCCATGACTCTGAAATTTACCAGCTGTGCGGTTGCAGACAAATTACTCAACCACTCTGATATTCAATATCCTCATCTTCAAAACAGTACTAGTAATTACCTGTCTTGCAAGATTGTGATGATTAAAAAGAACGACAACTGAAGTGGTAGGCGCAGGGCCTGATATGCTATATATTTACATATATATATATAGGTTCCCTTTTTCACTTTAATCACTCTCTCTGAGTCGCAGAATTCTCTTCAGTATAGTGATATTTATCTCACAAGATAATTTTGAGGATTAAATGAGAAAATATACCTGAAAGTATTATTAAATAGTAAAGTATTATTAATTGATTCACTTGTATATTCACTCAAATACTAAATATTTCTTCCTAAAGTTTCAGCATTAAGTGATGTGGGTGATTATAAAGATGAATCAGACACAGAACTTACCCTAAAGAAACTGTCCTTCTCAAGATATACCCTACTCTCCCAGAAAAACATTATGAGGCAAAAACTAAAAGTGCTGGCCACCTGTTAATGAGGTTCAAAAAGTGAGAAGATGCCTTCCAGATGAAACCCTCAGCCAGGGATCCGTGAAGGACTTGATATTTAAGCAGAGACTTGGCAGAAAGGTAGGAGATAATGGATAAGGGTTGTCCAGGGGGGAAGCACATCATGAGCAAAGTCACAGCAGGAGAGAGTGTGAGGAAGGTGAGGGGAATTTCAGGTGGTTCAGTAGACTAGAATGTGGGAGAGAACTAGGGGACTATAACTGATAAGTTTGCAAAGATGGGTTGGCTTCTCGGTGAGGCACTAGAGGTCAGTAGCAGCCCCCCCCCCCCAGTTGTGTTAACCAAAAGTGTCTCTGAACATTGCCAAATTCCCTCTGAGGGGCAAAATCATCTCTTGTTGAGAACCACTGTTACAGGGGGAAGAGGTCTGCTCCCCGTGATAAAAGCTGTGGAAGTGGTGCCAGGGAGCCTGGACTACACTCTTGTGAACGTGTGTCAAGAATTTGGGCTGTGGATGGGACAGGGTGGGAGGGAGATGACGAGCCAGTTGGTGGAAAGAGGTGGGTTCCAAGATGTGCCACCCTGAATCTGTCTCAAAGGTATCCAGATATAACACTTCCCATGACACTCCACATCTTCAGTAAAAGCATCATGAAATGCCAGTCACGACTGGATCACTTGTGGAAAAAGGGGAAAGAGTAGGGTTTTCAAATGGATCAGAAGGAGGGTAGAACTGAGGCCAGGAGGACCCAGGAGTCAAAATAAAGAGAGGCAGGAGGAAGAGAGAGGCAGAAATCAGGACCTTGAGGGACTGTCTAGACCCTGGTATTGGCGTTTGCTTCTGGTCAAGTTTTACCTAAATCTCTGAGGAAAGGAGACAATGAAATTTGGTTGCCTTATTCAAATCGGACATACATTTTTTAAAAACACAAATTATTCTTTAGAATTTCCCATACCTTTATTTGAGATTAATAATACTACTACTATCATTAATAATGATAATAATGATAATCCTGCTAATGAAATAATCTAAAATATTCCCAAAGACATCGAGACAGCTGTACACCCTTGGGCAAGTTACTTAACTTCTTGAGGACTCTATTTCTTCAACTGCAAAATGTAATAACTCCCATCTTATAAAGTTGTTGTGAGGAATAAATAAGACATATGAAATGCTTGCCATGTAGCAGGTGTTCAATTGTTTTTTATCTATTTATCTATCCATCCATCTGCCCATCTCTATTTCTTTAAATTTATGAATATGTCCAGAAGAGTAAGAAATTATATGCAGATATGGTGTCATCAATCCAGATATGCAGCTGTTATTGACATTATAATTCTAGAGAGTGCTTCTAGAGATGCCCATTTAAGAAGTCTGAGGCCTTCAAGACACAAATATCCTAGATCTTAACGGTACCCAATGTCTGGATGAAAAGTGGAAAGTCCATTCAATTACCCACATTTCTCAGGCTTCCAGATGTTTGGCAACACGTTGTAGAACCTCCATATAACTGTTAGCATTTCTACATTTTGTCTGGCTGCTTTATGACTAAACTGATATTCTGGTATTAGCCCTGTTTCAGTCCTGCAAAGCAGGTTGGTCTGACCTCAGAAGCTTCAAGATCCACTCAAAAAGACTGCAAATTCTGGAACAGCATCTTAGTTTGGCCTTTGCCTCGATCTGAAAATAAGATCCCTTTGCTAAATTAATATTGATTAAATATCCTCCTTTCCTCAACCATATGTATATTGTTTTTCAAAACATCTGAAGGACAGTGGCCTTTGGTGTCTGGGATTTTAGAACATTTGGCTAATCAATATCCTGGTCACTAATTAACCACATCTGAATGAGAATTGGGCGAGTTTTATTGGTTTCAAACATCAGATAGATCTTACAGCTCCTGGCCTGTAGATGCCTTTTACTTCAAACTCCCTGAATAGATAGTTTTACTCCTAAACAACAGGGTGGTGGCTTTTAGATGAGATGTTTGTTGTTGCTTTTCTCATCTTGTCTGCGATGACTTGTCAGCCTGGGATAACCATGCAGGAGAAGGTGAATCGGTGAGTTAACCATACCTGTTGCCATCAAGTTGATTCTGACTCATAGAGACCCTACAGGGCAGAGTAGAACTGCCCCATAGTGTTTACAAGGAGCTGCTGGTGGATTCAAACTGCTCTCCTTTTGGTTAGCAGCTGAGCTCTTAACTACTGCACCACCAGCATTCCTGAGTTGACCATATGTCTCCACAAATTTGCAGTGAAAACACCTGGTGAGGAATTAAGACATTTTCATGTTTGCAACAGGGGATTTTATGATGGATGTAAACCTCTTGTCATGTTATTACTAATCCAGTGAAGGAGTACAGGACAGTTTGAAGAGCATATATTTGGAGTCAGATAGGACTGTCTGTAAATTACAACTTTAATATTCAGGAGCTGGGTAATTTGGAGTAAGTCACTTTAACTCTTTGAGCTTCAGTTTATCTGTAAAGTTAGAACAATAATATCTCTTCTATAAAGTTAATGAAGATGACAAATAGAATCCTGGATATGAAATGTTACAGGATTATGGTAGGATCTTAATAAATGATAGTTCTCTTGAGTGATGTTGGACAATTAACTTATCCTCTACTTCCTTATCTGTAAAAGAGAAATCATAAGAATACTCATCTCACAGTGTTGTAAGAATGGAATTAGATAATAAATGAGAAAACATTTTGGGAAAAACAAAGAATTGTAGAGATATTGGCTTATTTCATTGTTTTCGTTTATCATTTACCATGGGTTAGCGGATGGAAGTGCTATTTCCATATGTACTTGGTGTTTTACACTTTCTGTTTTCTTAAATGTTTCCAACCTGGCTTCAAGCTTTTCTATATCCTAACAGTAAGCATTTTGCAGTGCTTAAGCAATCTTTTGTTTCACATTTGGAATAATTTTAAAGCAATCCCTGTCTCCTAAACATTCAAGATTTTACATAGAGTTATTTTACTCAAATTCTTGTTGGATGATTCAATTTTGAATCATTACTGCTTTTAAATATTAGAGCAAGAGAGATTTCCTTTAAGTAACAGTTCAGAAGGGGAGAATGCATTTTTACAGCAGTTACTTTGCAACTTTGTATCTAAAGCAAATACAATTTTGAAAAATCAGGAAATTCATCACTAATAATTAGAAGATAAAGGCAAGAGAACCGTGGTAAAGGAAATCTCTGCTGAGATACTCTTCATTATAAAAGCTTATCATTATAATCCTTTTTGAAACTGAACAAAGAGCCTTGATGTTTGATGAACTTATCAAACAAGACAGACCAGTGAAGAGGCAAATTTGAAGTCAATGAGAAGGAGAACCAATTAAGTATTTTACGAAGTGCTGAAGTAAGAAATCACGAGGTCTATGTGTCTAATGCCAATGTGTCTGACACTGGATTTGAAAATGGACAACTAGATGGTGAAATAACTGTACTGCTTTCAAATCCTGGCACCGGCATTTACTAGTTGTGTGATTGACAAGTTATTTAACATTTCTGAGCTTCGTTCCTCTCAAGTGGAAAGTGGTGGGAAGTAATCGCACTTACTCCCAGGTGGTTGTAAGAATTAAATGCATGATAAGTCTTTAGAACACTGCCAGGCCCTTAGTAAGCATTCAATAAAGGTTATGGCTGCTGGTGGTGTGTTATTGCTGTATTATCTTTTAGTATTTCCATTCTCTCTGATGGTTGACAATAATCTGACAGAATAAATTTATAATGTGCCAAATGGCATAAATCTTCCAGATCAGTGACTGATTTCAAACTTTTCTAATGTAGAAATGGCATTCTTTTTTTCAAATAAAATCTTACATGAACCCCAACGTTGAAAATAGATGGAATATGTTTTTAATTGTATGCATTTATTTTATGAGCTCATGTATATCATCTGTTTATATGATGTCTGTGGAGGTGATGTTTAGCTGAGGTATGAAGGATGGTAAGGAGAAGCCATGTAAAGAGCAAGGGGAGAGTTTTCTGGGAGGAGAGATCAGCATATGCTAACACTCTATGGTGGGAAATTGCTCGACGTATTTATGGAACTGAAGGATGGGAGTATCATGAGAACAGGGAATTGGGCTACGAGAGGATGTCAAAGAGGTGGGTACAGACCAGATTGCAGAGGGCCTCAGGCGCCATAATGAGGAAGAGAATTTTAGTCTGCATGCAGTAAAAAGCCACCAGAAGGTCTATGCAGGAGGGATATTATCTGATTTATAATTTTAAAAACTCATTCTGACTGATGTGCAGAGAATGGATTGGAGGACGGTTCAGTAGATGGTTTGGGACCAGATGAGGCCATAGCAATTATCTGGGTGAGAGATAATGGTGCCTTGAATTAGGATAGTGGCACTCGAGATAGGCAGGTGGGAAGAAATTTGAGATATATTTTGAAGATAAAATCGACAGAAATTTCCAAAGGATTGGGCACGGGGGTGAGGAAAAGGAAGAAATTAAAGACGAGTGTTAGGTATCTGACCTGAGCAACTGATTTTATGGTGGTTCCATTCACTGGTGTTGGTAAAAGGGAAAAAAAAAATTAAAAGTTTAGCTTTAGACTCATTCCCTTCTCCATGCCTGAGAGCCAAGCAGTGGAAATATAAAATGAGCAGTTGGATAAACAAAACAGGATTGCAGAGGAGTGGTCTGGGCTGAAGATCTACGTTTAGGAGGCGTTAGCATCGATGGTATAAGAAGCCTAGGAAATGACTGAGAATGCAGAGACATCAAAGAAGAGAGGCAAGACTGTACCCTGAGGCATCCCAGTATTTAGAGGAGAAGTCAAAGAGAACTGGCCACAGGGATAGGAGGAGGGTGAGGAAGTGTGGTGTTAAGAGAGTCTAAGGAAGATATTATTTCAAGAAGGAAACAGTGGTTAAAAGAAGACAAGTGTACTCATTTCTCACGGCTTCTGAAATGAATTACCACAAATGGGGTGGCTTTAAACAACGGGAATTTATTCTATCACAGTAACGGAAGTTAGAAGTCCAAAATCAAGGTTTCCGCAGAGCCATGCTCTCTCTGAAGACTCTAGGGAAAAATCTTTCCTTGCGTCTTCCAGCTTCTGGTGAGCCCAGGCATTCCTTGGCTTGTAGCAGCATAACAACAATATCTGCCTCCATCTTCATGGCCTTTTGCCTCACGTCTTCTCTGTCCAAATCTCCCTTTCCTTTCTCCTATAAAGACACCAGTCATTGGATTTAGGGCCCACCCTGATCTAGTATGACCTCATCTTAACTTGATCACACCTGCAGAGACACTATTTCCATATAAAGTCACATACACAGATACCGAGGGTTAGGACTTGAACATATCTTTTTGGTGGACACAGTTCAAGTAAGACAAAGCCAGAAAAGTTTCCACTGGCTTTAGCAACATGGAGGTCACTGGAGACCATTCACTTTCACAGTCAAGTTTAAAAGACTCAGTTTCATGATGTAATTTTCAAGTAACTGAATGGGACTGACTCCAGGTCATATAATTAGTGACAATCAGCCTTGAATACAGTTGTTGGCTTGGCCAACTTATTAGGATGGCCCCAGCAGTAATCAGGGTTAGGCCTCCTGATCTCCTAACCTAGGACTGGTAGCTAATTAATGGTTTTGTTTTCTAAATTACTGAGGTAGCCACACTCTGGGGTCAAGCACTTGTGTTTGCAGGTTACATAGTCAATGCTAGGTGTTAGGTCCTTTACCCAATATGCTACCCAAAAGTAAAAGACAAGTGGTAAGCATCTCACTAGTGCACAACCCTCAACAGAACGGTCGTTCAATACAAGTTTGATGAAGATGGAAATGTTCAATGAGCATCCGTGGGGTTGAGAGGGCTAGGGAGAAGAAAACTGACAAGTATTCCAGACATTGTACTTGGGGCTTTACATACATGATCTCACTCCATATTCAAAGCACTCTTGCAAGTTATTATTATCCCTGTTTTTCAGCTATAAGAAAATTGAAGTTCAGTAAGTGGCAGAAACTGGATTCAAATGTATGTTTGGCAGACTCTAAAATCCTTTCCATGACATCAGTGTTTCCTTGACTATATTACATAGTCTTACAGATGTTGCATGATAAAAAAGAAATGAATTATGTTCCAAAACTTTGGGAAATGCTGGGTTAAGCAAACTTAAAATTCAGGAATTCTCAGAGCCTTTAATATGTTATTGGGCATCGTAAATCTCCAAGAGTGGCATATCGTACGCAGTTTATCCAAATGTATGTAACTATGGATCTTTTCTTGTCTTCCCACCTCTGGTGCATATCTCAGGAACTAGTTAGTATTCCACAAAGTACACTTTGAAAAATCCTGCAAAAACACCACATTGAATTGTGATCGTTCTATAGATGAAAAAAAATGAAAACCTAGCTGAAGGTAACTTGCTCTTAGTAGCACAGCAAGTTATAGGCAAACTAAAGACTAGACTCAAGGATTCTTGAATCCCAGTGCTCTATATTAAATGTCTTACTGATAGATTATATTTTCTGCAGCTGAGATATGCTTTAAATTTTTTCCCCAAGATTTACTGGATCTCAGAGTTATTAATGATTCCTTAAGTAAATGAAAATTGATATGGCTCTTTTGGAAAGCCATTTGACAATGTCTGTCGTAAGCTTTGAAATCACGTGTATCCTTACTCAGTCATTCCATTCCACAGGATATTTAGTGAATGACTTAGAATACAGAAAACCTCTGGGGTCTGTAATCTAACTGTTCAATATTATGGGACTGGAATAATACATAGTCATTATAAATTGTGTATACTTTTCCTATAATATTAAGTGGAAAATCAGGATACAAAATGTATGACTTCAAATATGTTATGAAAATAAAGAGTAGAAGGAAATATAACAAAATATTAATGGTGGTAAGATTTAGGGGAATTTTTTTCTTTTACTATCTTTTCTATATTCTCTTCAGTGAAAATGTGTTACTTTTATAATCAGCCCAAAATGAGCTATATTAAAAAGAATTCATTGGAATAATAAGAGAAAATGTTGGTCATATTGATATTGGCTAAAATGTTAGAGCACCG